TAAAATAGTTGCACGTTTCACTGACGCTTAGCAGAAATGTTATTAGAAAAATGCATCGGCATGCATTTTTGCATATTTCTTCTACCACTTTTATATTGTTTTTTATAATATTATATGTTAATTAACTTTGGTATTTTATTGTAGAAATTTCTTTAAACGTTGTTGGAAATTATTTTATGCAAATCAAATTTGTTATTAATATTTGCAACTTATTGAAGAGATCGGATGGCAATATAAATGCCAATCAGCCAGAACATAATTTAAAATTTTAATTCAGTGTAATATAAAAAAGTATTAGTAAAAATTATTGTTTACTAAAATTTACATTGTAAAACTATTTTAAACTAGGCTAACAATAAGTAAAAAGTAACATGTTTTTTAAACTTTTAAGGCCTGATTTTTTCAACACTTTCGTCACCCAGAAGTAAATATAAAGTTGTAATAATAGTGTGAGTAGTTTTTTCAATCGATTTTGAGATTTTTTACTTAATTTTTTTTGTTTAAATAATTATTGACATAATTCAAGTAAATGCGTGTATTTAATATTAATGCCTTTGGTCGATGTATTATAATCTAGGTATTTCAATTGAAATAGTTATAAAATTATCAATTTTGTAAATTGTATTTGCTTCTACAATTTTAAATCTTTGTATTCTGTTGTACACGTTTTTGTTGTCTATTATATTTTCATCATTTAAATTAATAATAAACAAATTATACTAAAGTTTCATTTGTCGGTTCGCAATCCATATTATTCTTGTGCCACAATTTTAAATAATAATTTTTATTCCTTTTTATATACTTGTAGCGACCCTTTATATGACTACCATAGGGATGGCAATAGAAAACGTCCACTGTTAAGGTACGAATATATAACCCAGACCCATTTTCAAATACTATTCACTTATGACTTGTATTGTGACAATATCACATGTAACGTAAATGTATAAACAAATATATATTATTGTTATCATTCTATATTTACCTACATACTTTTTTATCGCCATCTATTTACCACCCTTCCACCTCATTTAAACTTCACATTTCTGAAATAAAAAGTCTCAAACACGAATTAAGTCATTATTAATCTGTTATAATAAGCGCCTAGCTCCCCTACATGTTGATCTGTATTTTGAAGTATTTCATACGCCTCACAGATTTTGAATACAAAACTATGTGGTTGCAAGGTCTGGCACTGGACCACAATACCACTTCAAAATACTTCAAAAACATAAACTCAACTTCAAAAAATTATGCGACATTACCATGTCACACTTCTTCAGGTCTGAAATAATATTTTTATGAGACGTTCAGTATACCAGCAGTGTGTATTTTTAAGTGAGAATGGCATCACTACTGCATGATATCATTTTGTACGCTACGCATATTTTGAACCTGCATTCTTGTAGTTGGCCTATACAAGCCTTAGAATGTTTTAAAACCGTGAACTAGACTTGAGAAAATGATGTGATATCATCTTTATCACACTTTTTTAGATTTTTTTTTTTTGTTTTATTGTATTTAGCAAATTATACACACAGTACATTCAGCTAATTTACATGTATATTTATTTGACAGCGTGAAAAGGATCGCTATCCTACGATACCACCTTATATATTACGTGTTTTGTTGTTGTAAATCATTGCAAATTCTTTTTTGAGACGTTTTGGCGGTAAAGGCTTGTGCAGGTTATATGCAAGTTTGGATGGCGACTTAGACTAGCTTTGTATCTGGAGTTGGAATTCTGAGATCTTGATGTATTAACGAGTTGGGAACATATTTTGGAGCGGTCACGATTTTTTTTTCAAAATTTTGTTTTGGAACCTCTGTAGAATAGTTATGTTTGATTTACACCATAGTTGTAGATCGTAGGACCATATTGGTTTAATAATTATCTTGTATATTAGGAGTTTATTTTTTATTGAGACTTGAGATTTCCAGCCCATTAACCAATTAACTTTTTTAGATTTGCAATCCGTTTTTGCGACGTTTAGTATAGCATTAGTCTATAATTTTAGTGAGATTGGCAAATATTTTGAGCTGATGAATACAGATTCTAGTTACTATAGAGTTAGAATTCTACTTCAGGAATTATTCAGTAAATCATCATGACCTAAGTAATAAACTAGTGATGTATGGCATAGTGTCTTAAGGCAAATTGCTGGAACTTACCGTACTTTAATGAAATATTCGAGGCATATAAGTATTTTCAAATAGATTATTATAAATAATGTTTCGTTCATTATTTTAATTTTATGAAAAGTAAATAAATAAAACTTAATCAAGTAAATTTAAAATGAAGGACATTGTCCAATATTATAAGAATTACATAAACTGAACTGCAAAGTTATAATTATTCATTTAAAGTGTAAAAATGAACTTTAGCACTTCAGCCAGAATTACAAATAAATTCGCATTATTTTTCGATATTAAAAAAAAATCAAAAAAAAAATTGCAAAAAAAAAATATAAAAAAATTCTTTCCTCAAAAGTAATCGTTTTGTCACCACAAGCAGAAGTTTTTTTAAATCATTCAAATAAGATGCTTAGTTTTTTCAAAAACTGCCATTCTTTGCGCATTTAGCTTGATATCTCCGAAATGCTAGACCTGCCTTTGCCAAAATCTAATCACTACTTCTTCCCATCATTACAAATTGAATGTATTTTGGATCATTAAATCGGTTGATCCAGTTTTTATAAAAACTGGCATTTTTAACACTTTTTGTTCCATATCTCCAAAGCTGCAGGAACTGTCTTTGTCAAAAACTAATCAGTACGTCTCCTCAACAATAGGAGTCTAATGTTTTTTTTCACAATTCAAATCGCCTGAAATTGACGACGAAAAATTGTCTCCACACATACATACCCACACATACATCCATTCTAAGGTATGCCAAAATGTTCAGAAACCTCTAAAACGTGAAGATCTGCGAAAATTTTCATTTTTCATTTTTGGACCACTACTATAACTTACCCTACGAGAAGTTAATAAATTTCAAGTAGTTTTATGGTTTTATACATTAATTTATAACATTAAATCCTGAAATAAACAAATTAAATTTTCGGGCAAAACATAAACTTATCCTTTGTCAATATTAGTTTTTTATTCATTGTTTTTTATGAAAAGTAAATAAATAAACTTAATCAAGTAAATTTAAAATGAAGGACATTGTCCAATATTATAAGAATTACATAAACTGAACTGCAAAGTTATAATTATTCATTTAAGTGTAAAAATGAACTTTAGCACTTCAGCCAGAATTACAAATAAATTCGCATTATTTTTCGATATTAAAAAAAAATCAAAAAAAAAATTGCAAAAAAAAAATATAAAAAAAATTTCTTCCTCAAAAGTAATCGTTTGTCACCACAAGCAGAAAGTTTTTAATCATTCAAATAAGATGCTTAGTTTTTTCAAAAACTGCCATTCTTTGCGCATTAGCTTGATATCTCCGAAATGCTAGACCTGCCCTTTGCCAAAATCTAATCACTACTTCTTCCCATCATTACAAATTGAATGTATTTTGGATTCATTAAATCGGTTGATCCAGTTTTTATAAAAACTGGCATTTTTAACACTTTTTGTTCCATATCTCCAAAGCTGCAGGAACTGTCTTTGTCAAAACTAATCATCGTACGTCTCCTCAACAATAGGAGTCTAATGTTTTTTTTCACAATTCAATCGCCTGAAATGAACGACGAAAAATTGTCTCCACACATACATACCCACATACATCCATTCTAAGGTATGCCAAAATGTTCAGAAACCTCTAAAACGTGAAGATCTGCGAAAATTTTCATTTTTCATTTTTGGACCACTACTATAACTTACCCTCCCCGAAGTTTTAATAAATTTCAAGTAGTTTTATGGTTTTATACATTAATTTATAACATTAAATCCTGAAATAAACAAATTAATTTTCGGGCAAAACATAACTTATCCTTTGTCAATATTAGTTTTTTATTCATTGTTTCAAAAGCAATCAGAACTACTTTAAGCTTACATGCTCAATAAGCTGTTTGTTGAGGACTTATAACTTAGTGTTTTGTGAGAGGCAACCCATCGGTTTACCATACTTCTATTTATTTTTTTTTTTTATTTATTTCAGACTAATGGCCTAAAAACAACAATGTCTTAAGCCACAATAATATTTTAAACCTACTTACCATTCTTCTATGTATTAAACTCAAGCCTAATAGTTACCATATGATTAAAGGGCGATTTCCACTTGAATTTGTATTGAGATCTATAATCCCAAGCTGAAATTTGACATCAAGCTGCCTGATGTCGAGTTTTGGCGGTAGCGGAATTGAACCAGTATGAATAGCATAAATAATACATTTAATATACACATAAATTATGTCATAAGTAGTTACATTATATTGCAATAGTTCCTATTATATATTCCTCCAAGTTTTCTAATATTTTCTGGTGCAGAGGAGTTTTCTTTGTTGCAATTAAGTTTGTCACTGTATTGAATTCCGTCTTAATTATAATTAGGAAACAAATAATTTAAAACGTTTCCTCGTTTATGTTCAAATTCGAATCCCGAATGACTTTGCGAACTCAACAAGAAACTAAAGTTTATTAGAAATAACTTTGCTCATTGTTGTCAAATGCACTTTACGGCGGCAACGGGACGTTTTATTGTTTAATGAAATTACTGCAAAAACTTAAAACTCTGTCAGCAGTTGCTTTATCTAAAATTCACTTAATGCGCTTAGTTGCAATGCAATAGGTAGATGCATATTATATAATGTGAAGGCTTTGTGTTTTATATTTTATACCAAGGATTTTCCGCGCACTAATGAAAATAATGGCAGAGAAAAAATATTTTATTTTCGGTGTCCAGGAGGTTTGGATAAGTATCATTTTTGTTTTATTACCTGCTTCCCGAAGGTATGAAAAATTAATAGCAAAAACAAGAATAAAAAAAATAATCATTTTCCTAATTCCATAATCAGTATAAATGTGAACAATAATATGTTTATTTTTTCCAGGTCCTTTTGACTACTGCTGCTTTGCACACTGACTTCTTCACCAGGAATCGCTCTGGAAATATTTTATGAAGTACGTTTTTATCCATAGTCAGTATAAATGTGAACAATATGTTTTTTTTTTCAGGTCCTTTCGACTACTGGTGCTCTGCACACTGACTCCTTCGCCAGGAATCCTTCCAGAAACATTTTACCAGGTATGTGTTTATCCATACCAGTATAAATGCAAACATTCCTAAAATGATTTTTTTTCAGGTCCTTCTGACGACTGCTGCTCTGCACACTGACTTTTTCACCAGAAACCGCTCTGAAAATATTTTATGAAGTACGTTTTTATCCATTATCAGTATAAACGTGAACAATAACATGTTTTTTTCCAGGTCCTTTCGAATACTGGTGCTCTGCACACTGACTCCTTCACCAGGAATCTTTCCAGAAACATGTTACAAGGTATGTGTTTATCCATACCAGCATAAATGCAAACATTCCTAAAATGTTTTTCTTTTTTGCAGATCTTCTCAATCCAACTATTACTGCCCTGAAGCTCTAACATGTGAATGACTCGCTAGAGTTTTTTTTTAACTGCCTATAATTATGCATGAAGAACTTAACTCTTATTAACTCAATAAGATGACTAATCTCACTTACTTCATCAGTTTATATAAATACCAACTTGTGAGTTTTTTATGAAGGTCTTACTGAGGTTGCTTGGAATACGGTACTGATGATTTATCAGGTAATTTATTATTAAAGTATATTTATGAAAACTTGTTCTAAATTCATTGTCTTTGTTTTTAGGGTAACCGCCAACTTGAAGCCAAGTGGTCTTCAACTCTCAAGTTGCTCATGAGTGAGAACAATCGTTTGAACTACTAATTATACTATCCGTCCGTCTGATGCCTACTGTGATATATTGAATAGTTAAGTGCTTAGATGTGAATGAAATAATGAATAAATATATTGTATTTAATTTAATTTGCTGTTTTAATTTGATTATGATTTGATTATGCCAAATTACATTATGCTGTAACGTAAATTACAAAAAATATAATTATAAAATTTTCTTGGATACTTATATTGGGTGTACTTTTTAGTGTAGACAATTGTGTAAAACAATATGTTTACTGTTTGGGTGTCTTAAAATCTTAGTCAAGTTCCTTATACATTTGCTTTGTCTCGGTTCTATCAAGTCATGCTTTGACTTGATAGAACTATACACTTGGCTCTCTTGATAATATTGAATTGGCTGAAAAAAACACACGGTATATGTACAGGCATTATAAACATAAATATATTTTCTTTATATTATAGCATTAATATACTCATTAACTTGTTCACCGGCGAGGATTTAATATTTTTACGCGCTTCTATATTTTGTCCTTCGCAGCTAAAGCAGCGCGAAGTACAAAAAGTTTTCTAAAAAATTAATTAATTTTTTTTTTAATTTTAATTTTTGGTAACGGAAGTTTCATACATACAATTTATCGTGTGTAATGCGTAATAAATTTTCTGCAATCAAACAGTTATTTTAATTTTAGAAAAATCATATATAAAAACTATTTAACTAAAAATTCAGAGATGGGGCGGCATTTTTGTCAGTGCCCCAAGGCGCCAAATTTTTAAATCCGGCCCTGATTCTTATCATAGTTAATAAGTTCTAGCAAAATCTAAAAATAAGAGGTATATACTATACTATTAACAATATAGTTAATGATGAATGCTTGTATATTTTATAAATCGAAATAAATGCCATTAATATCTACTTATTCGGATATTTTTATTATTAGTTTTATATTTCAGATCTTGGATAATTATATATTATATTTCAAATTCTATATCAATTAGTCATCAAGATTCAGGTTATTTTTTCAATTAAGATAATCTTTTCATTCAGATATAATTTATTTATCGCAAAAATCAAATCATTCACTATTTATGTACTTGTATGAAAACTGATAATTTAAATAACATATATTTGAATTTCGCGCTTTAAATTGCACAGGAGGTGACAGCCATTCTGACACATGTTGACAACTTCAATGCCACTCGATTGTCAAACAGATTTTCGTGACTTAACATGTGCTAGGGTTAATTAACGTTTTTTTTTAATTAAATCCTTGATTAGTTTTAATTAATTTATGCATCAAAACATGTAATTAATTCAGTAGATCATTTTGATATAATAAATTTATCGTGAAACGTTAATTAAAAGCCGAAAAAATGGATATGTGTGGAGGTGCCTTGAATAGTTTGATAAGTGTCTCTTTCAGGGTCTCCATTTTGAATCAATTTTATAATTAAACAATTCATTCACAGCGCCAATGTATCCTTTAATTATATACGTGCAATTATCAATAGTATAATTTATATATGTGCTTTTGTTGGTTATTAATTCATTTACAGCGCCAATGTATCCTTTAATTATATACATGCAATTATCAATAGTATAATTTATATATATGCTTTTGTAGCTTATATTTGAGTACTTCCAACACATATCTGTTATTATCGAATTCTAAATTCACGAAAGTCTCTAATATAAGTCGTGTGTCGTGTATTATGCAAAGACTTTACTCGGACAATTGCAACAGGTCAAATTGACTTGTAAAAGACTAGAGTTATGCAGTGGTTCTAAAGTAGTGATTTTGTGTCGAGTACTTAGATTTCTGGCAGATGCTCTAGATGTGGTTCGTGTATTGGATTTGTGTTCTGGAGCTGCTATAGAGGATATCGAACAATGTAAGTGCAAAGCATGTTTTATACAAGCGAGTCAAAGGATATATTTCTGGAATTATATACAGGCATTTATCGTACCATATCTGTTGTGCCTATAGTGTTTTAAATATTCAATATTTAACTTATGTATATATATATATATATATAAATGCATATGAATTTAAAGCAGTCAAATAATTTTGAAAATATTTATTTCGATACATTATTGTTTGTCATCTTCAATAAAACTATGATTTGAATAGAAATAAATAAAAAGACATTACTTATAATTTATTTCCTGAGAGAAGTTTACAATTAATGACCGAGTTTTTTATTATCTACTACTTTTATGCTTGTAATAATAATATTTCTTATATAGTTATGTATTTAATGCTTGTTTTCCATATTAAATGAAATTAATTCGAAGGTGCTTTGAGAACATGTCCCTTTCTTATCTGATATCATTTATAAGGCAGCCTGTATATATTTTAGTGGAATATTTTCTGGCCCGTGCATTATTAATATAGTTATATACATATATCTGCTGAAAATATTGTTTATACTATTATATTTGAGTCAATATATTTTTATTTAATAAGATATACTTTATTAATTTTTAATGCATAAAATACAATATATTCTTTGTTTATTTATCTATTATGAAAATAAAAGATTTTAAATTAATTTGGCAGACATATGTGTAAAAAATTATGTTTTTATTTAATTTGTTGTGGGGAAAACATGTTGATTCATTTTTTTTATTTATTTATACAAGTGCCTTTTATACATGTTCTAAATCACTAAAGTTTGTATTTCTTGTATGTGTCAAAGTCATTGAAAGTAATTCATAATATTACAATTCCATAATAATATTCCACCGAGATTCTTTTGCTCTATAAATAAAACTATGAACTGATTTTGTGTGGAATTCAGAATTATTATTTATATTAAATTTTTGTTATTAAATTATTAGTTAACCAATACAGCTTTTTGTAAGCATCGATTACTTATTTGTTGAAGGGTCCCTAGCATCCTTCCTTAGGTAACACCTAAATTGATGCGATTTTATTACAAATTACAAATTTACTTTGTTACAAAAATCTCTTATTTTGTGACACCTCTTGTTCATTATCCTTTGGAAACAATTTTTTAAATTACATTTCCAGTATCAAGAATCATGTGTTTTCCCTGTAGCGATATTGACTGCATGTACATTCTTATTTATGGATAACCGATTGTAGGTTTTGATCAAATTATTTCAAATACTCAATACGACTTACCAAATTCTTAATTAAATGCAGCTTTTAAAAGTCTTTTACTGTAATTTTATTTTAAATTTATTCAATCATATCGCTGCATAGCTGAATGATAGATTTTTATTCTTTTGTTGCTAAAAACAATTTTGATCAAGACATGCAATCGAAGTTTCAAAGAGTTGACTTGAATGATTAGACAAAAGATATTTTTGTTAACAAGTTTATTATTCGATTCAAGTTGTAAAAATTATTTAACTCGCTTTCTAAAGGGTAACAATGAGCTTTGTAACAGTTTTGAAGTTTTTAATGTTAAAGTTTTTGAACATTTTTTTATTATTTCATTTTACAAGTTTTATTGAATTTCTTTTTTGGCTTTTTCCAATAATTTGTATATTATTCAAGTCAGCTATATTTATTTTTTTGTCTCGATTAATTGTAAAGGTTTCACATGTTTTATCAAGTCGTTTAAACGTTTTTGATTCGATTAATATGATTTCATTTCATCGATTAACTAAATAATTCTCTCAAATAATTTTTTTTTTTTCTAAGTCCAAATTTTCTGATTATAATTCTTTCGAATAATTTTTATTTTCTAAGTTCTTTCAGATAATTTTTTTTTCTAAGTCCAAATTTTCTGAAACCTTTTCAATTAAGACAGACGAGTTATTTATGCATGCTGTATTATCCCAAAGCCAACATTCGAATGAATGAGGCTCACATTGAATATTTCACAACGAGAAAATTTTATTGGGACAAAGTTAAAAATTTTAACTAAGTCCCAGTATTTTTTTCTCGTTGTGAAATTTTCAACGTGGACTTCATTTCATTCGAGTGTTGGCTTTGGGAATTGGTGTGAGGGAACACTAAAATACATAAAAAAGTTTCAACGCTGAACAGAAAAGAGAAAAATCGACCTGGGACTTAGGGGGTTTTTTTTAAGGCTCTCACCTCCCCCTCCTTCTCCCTCCTCCTCCTCCTCTTTCCCCTTTTTTTCCCTTTTTTTCACATTTTTTTTTCTTTTTTGGTGTTGTTTTTTTCGCATGTTGTGGTTTTTGGGTAGATTTTTGGGTTCGGCATGCATCTTCCGCAATGTGTCCCCCTGCGTGTAACCTCTCGCATCATGGACCTCTGGTTGACCATCACTTCGTGTGTTCGTTTCAGGACCCTTTGCGCTCGCCAACAGCCAGCCACCAGCACTGCTCCTTTTTTTCTGCTTCAGAGTTGCTCGTCGTCGCCTTCAGCTGGACTCGATCCGTCTCACCTTGTGCCTGCCTCCAGAGTGATTTCACCGAGTATGCGGTCACTTAAACCGCTCGGCTATTTAAGTTATTGATGATAAAAGTTATTTTTATTCCTATATTGTATTAATATTGAATTTTAATAAAGAATATGTATCATACACATCTCTCTTATTCATCATCTGCCTCTACCCCTCTCTTTCCCCAGTTCTTCCTCTACCTTTTTTTTTTTTTCTCTTTATGTATCTCTCTTACAGTGAAGTGCGAAACTTGAGTTTTTTGTTTTTCAGAAATATACTAAGTGTCAAGGTCGAAATGCGACACCTGAATTTAATATTTTGAACTAATATTTGATA